TCCTTCGCCCCCTCTCTCCTTCACACGGTTCGGCCGTCCCCCTCTTTGCTCCCGCACTTCCTTCATCACCTCTCAACTCGCCTGGACATCGTTTCTGGATGGGCTGGTGGAGATACTTTTTAGTCAGCGGCCGCAGGCGAGAGCGCCAGCGGCGAGTCCAGTCAGAGCGGGCCGCGCAAAGACGAATTAACATAGAGCGGTGGGCCGGAGCCTCACGCAGCACCTCGGCGGGCAGGCCGGCGAGTGGAGAAGGGCTGGCTGCAACTGCTGGGAAGCTGCACTGCCAGGGTGCACGCATGCAACGCGCTGCAAGGATGGGCTGGCTGCCAGGGTGGTCGGCTGCCATGGTCTGCAAGCTGCGAGTGACTTGTATGCAGGGGCGTAGGCACCCACGGAACTGCAAGAGTACCAGGGTGGCCGGAGCCAAGTGAACCGCCTGCCACGAGACGAATTGTGTGCCCTACGCAGGGCGTAAGCATCCACGAGCTGCAGAGTACCAGGGTGGCCGAAGCCAAGTGCGTGTAAGACTGGGGGAACGTGATGTTCTTGGGAACGCACGCGGCCCTCACGCGAGGGTGGGAGGGAGAGAAGGAAGGACGAGAAGGAGAAGTAGGAGAGCAGGTCGGAGCGAGAGGGGAAGAACGAGGAAGAAGAGGGGAACATCGGGTGAAGGCGGGTGGGAAAGAGAGAAGGAAGGAGGAAGAGCAGGACAGATGAGCGGAGGCGAGGAAGGAAGAGAAATATGGAAAGGAGCAAGAGGAAGAGGATGATGAAATCAGCGCAAACATGCCGCCCCGAACACATGGCGAGAAGGCGAGTCTGCCCAAGGCCTGAATGCTACCGTGAGCAAGAAGTGGAAGGCCACCACATACACAAGCAGGGCAAGGACCAACCAACACCCGGAAGCCCTCTGGACACGCCCCAGAAAGCCCCGACGACGTACATGTCATGCTGGGAACGCAACGCAGCGCAGCGGCCCTAGCCCCCCCGTCGAGAGCCGAAGCCAAGGATGGCGCAGCCAGGGCCACCGAGCACTTCTCATTCAAAAGCATTCTCCCGTGCGCCACCAGCCTTGCAGCCTATAGTGGGCACATGCGGTACACAATATTGCTATAAGATATCTTGAGGCATGTTCATCGTCGGTCCTTGAGGCTCCTGTGAAATACGCTTCCGTGAGCCCACCTGGTACTCAGGGGAGAAAGAACTTCAGCGGGACAGCTGCTGGGAAACCAGACTATAAGCCAACCACGTTGGGCACGAAATAGAACCCGAGAGGACCTCAGAAGACCCCAAAACGAAATTGTGCACAACCGCCGCCGCCGCCGCCCGATGGGAGCCGTGGTACACCGAGGGGGGCCGGGGTCGATGCTTCATGTTAGATGCTCTTCTCAACCATCCTGTGGTGTTGGGTCCTCGTTTTGAAGAGACAGCACCTCGCGTTCTCCTCGTTATCCTCCTCCTCCTTCTCCTCCTCCTCATCCTTCTACTTCTCCTGTCCTTTCCTCCTCCTCCCCATCCTTCCTCACCCTCCCATCATCAGCATCATCAGCAGCATCAGCATCAGCATCAGCATCAGCAGCAACATCAACATCATCATCTTCTTCCTCATCAGCACCGTCATCATCGCCGTCATCATCGTCATCGTCATCATCACCATCATCGTCATCATCGTCATCATCACATCATCGTCGCCGTTATCGTCACCACCATCGCCAATCATGGCGGCATACCCCTCACACGTTTCGTGGTCCCACAAGGAGCTCCACCGAGGGCACCAGTAGCGGTGTTCGCATGTGTGCCCCCCCCACCCACTACATCGTTTCGTTCCCCCACAGGGAGCTCCACCGAAAGCCCCAGTGGCGGTGTTCGTATGCGTCTCCCCCACGCAGTACACCGTTTCGTGGCCCCAGTAGGGGGCTCCACCGAAGGCGCCAGTAGCGCTGTTCGCATGAGTCCCCCTTCAAAGTATAACGCATCGTGGCCCCAAAGGGAGCTCCACCGAAGGCTCCAGTGGCGGTGTTCGCCTGCGTCTCTCCCACTCAGTACAGCGCTTCGTGGCCCCATAGGGAGCTCCACCGAAGGCGCCAGTAGCGCTGTTCGCGTGCGTCTCCCCCACCTAGTACAACGTTTCGTGGCCCCACCGATGGCCCCACTAGCGGTGTTCGCATGCGTCTCCCAAATCAGTACAGCGCTTCGTGGCCCCATAGGGAGCTCCACCGAAGGCTCCAGTGGCGGTGTTCGCACACAGTGCAAGGTTTGGTGGCCCCAGAGGGAGCTCCACAAAAGGCCCCAGTGGCGGTATCCGCATGCGTCTCCCCCGTCCAGTGCAAGAGCTTGAACAGCCTCAGTAGCAACGCCCACATGGCGGCCCCGCGCTATATCGGCACACCCTTCGCATGCTTCATGGCCCCATATGAGGAGATCCCCCGACGGCGATACCCGCAACGAAGGAACTCACAACTGGATGTGGTTGGGTCCTTCTCCAGGAAAATTGAACTCGGGCCCCCCTTCTCCAAGGGCCACGCCCTTGGAGGGTCGCGGGTGCAGGGGGAGAGGAGGAGGAGACAGACCAGGGTAAGCCCACGATGCGCAAACAAAGCTGCAATACAACCTCACGCCTCAAGTTAACTCCCCATGAGTCCCGACCAGAATTCTTGTAACTGTGCGAAGAGAGCCGCTCAGAGACGAACGGCCCATGGCCCCACATTTCAGGCGGGAGCTGCGTTTCGGAAAGAATGCCCTCCGTCCTTCGAGCCATGTGGAATGGGACAAGGTGGGTTCCAAATTTCGAAGATATGCCCAACGACAGCCCCGCTTTGAAAAGGAAAAGGGTTCCGCTTCGGTCCGTATGATCTCACGACACACGACGCGCTCAAGCGAAACACTTGCGCTGAAAAGGAACCGTCCTCAATTCGCACAACTGTTACATAAGTTTACAAGTGTGTGATACTTGTTGTGGCAGTCTCTGGCGAGAGCGAAGGAGGGCGCCCGACGAACCTTCAAGCATGATCACGTCGGCGTCGTCGTCGTCGTCGTCGGTCATCCGGCCACACGACGACGAATGGGGTCTGAAAGGCCCCATGGGGTCCATCCTGGCAAGTTTCCCGTCAAGCGGCCCCGAACCAGATCGCCTGTGCCGAAAATAGCGAGACGCCTCTCCTCGACCATGTATCCAGTCTGCGCAGCGATGCTTGAAACGAGCAGATGGGGGCAAAACGTGGCAGAAATGCGAATGCAAAAGCAGGAGAAGACAGACTCGGGTCGGACGAAAGCGGGAGTTATGAAGGAGGCAGCTCGAGGAGCCTCCCGACGACGCAAGGCGCGAGTGCATACAGGAAAGACGCCCAGGGCGGGCCCGAAATCATTCTTGCACGCAGCAGAGTACGGAGCACCCCCTTTCCCTACCCCCATCCCCTGTTGATGCAACCCGAGCGGGGGCATATGCAGGACCAGGCATACGACTTCTTTAGATTCCTATGCGGCGACTCCCGACCCTGACCCCAGGTCTGGTTTCTCACCTCGAGTCGGTTTTCAACGGTCCCCGTGCCCAGCGGCGGCCTCCCCAGGCTGAAAACTGCCAAAAGGCCTGCGTCGTGGTTTTCACCACGCGAGCCCGTCTGTGGTCCTGACCCTTCCCTTAAAAGTCTTCCGCCCCGCTTCCATTTCTGACGGCCCCAGGGGCCAACAACGGGCCCTGAAAGCCGAAATCGAGGAGACACGCCGGGATTGAACAAAATCGCATCTTCGGGAAAACCTGGCAGCTTTCGGGTTGTAGCTCAGGCATCCGGCGGCCGTTCGGGACGATCCGAGCATCCCCGGAACGATCTTGGCGATGCGCAGCTGCTGAAAAGCATCCCGAGGCTGGAACACCGTCGAGAACAGACGAAACCGCCCGAAAACGCAAGTCGTTTCCCCGTTGTCGCCCGACCCGGGAGAGGACAGATGCAGGCAAATCGTAAGACGCTTATTCTGGGGTCCTTCCCAGAGCCACTCGCTCCACTCATGCGTCGATGCTGCGTCGACCGTCCGTCGACTCGAGTCGAACTTGAGTCGAGCCAGCATCGAACTAGATCTGGACCAAAGACGAACAGATCAGTCAGGGGGGCCCCAGGAGAGCCCCTGCCGCGCGTGCGCCGCCGCGCCCGCCTGAGCTGCGCGGCGATCTTGCGGTGCCGCGCCCTGCGGCCGCCGCGACGGGTGACCTTGCGGCGGGGGGCGCCGTCGCCTGGGCGCGCCGGGCGGCGCGGGGGAAGCCTCATGTGCTCGCGCACGGTGCCCGCAGCGGGCGGGCGAGAAGAGCCCAGACATGCTCGCATCGCGACAACCTGAGGACGGGAAAATTCCTGGCGGTTTTCGGCCCCTCGGGGCCCTCGCCGGGCCCCGGGGCCGTCGCAACACAGCTCGGAACTCGGGAGAGGGGACCAGTGGTTCAGCACGATTAAGGATTACGGACCAGCTCAGCTGGTCCAGCCCAGACTAAGCCCAGAATCCAGCTGGATTCAGCGGTACGGAACGGAACCAATGAGGGCTAGACTAGATTAGGCTGGTTCCCGATCGCAGATATACCAGCGACAATGCTGGATGTTACTTCCCATCAGTTGCATCGTGAACAGCGGGTGGGCGAGAGAAGGACGGTCGGGAAGCGAGCGAGCCCGAGGCTCGCAGCTAACGCAGCGGGCAGCACCCGAGAGGTGGGGCCTGACCCGAGTGGCTGGTGTCTTCCCCGAGGCGAAAACGCTGTTGTCGGGGGCGTGGGTGGTGGAATTCGTGTTCGTATTCCGCCCCACGGGGCGGACCGTCCAGATCCCCGACCACCGCACGTGCAGGGGCGAGGGGGAGGAGGAGGAGGAGGGGCGGAGAAGGAAGAGGAGGAGGAGGAGGCTGACAGCTCAGGCCCGCGCGTCCCCATGCCCTGCCTGAGAAACTGGAGGAGGAGGAGGAGGAGGAGGAGAAGGACGAGGAGGAGGTCGAGACGGCTGGAAGGAAGAGGTCAAGACCTGTCAGAGGGCGAGCCACGACGACCGCTGCACCAGCAGCTGGCAGGCGATACTTGTGGCCCCTCGACGCTGTAAGGGCTAACCACAGCTTTCGCATGGGTAACCTTGGACTCCCCCCTGCACGGGGGCGGAAGGAGAGGAACGACCTTGGCTGCGAAAGAAGGCTTCGGAGCAGCGCGCGGAGATAATGCTATGCGACTCCAGCATCCTCCTCGGAATTCGCCGGGGCCCGGAGGATGTCAATATGGAGGGGAGCTGGGCTGGCCTCAGCTCTCTTGCCCTGGCCGCCTCGCCACGGCAGCGCGCTTCGACAGTTGTTCCCCTTTATATTAGCAAGAGTCAGCGAGCCTGTGCGCACTGCGCGCTGGGGAGATTGGGCGGCAGGGAGGGGAGGGGACAGACGGAGGGGGGAGCGGGAAGGGGGCAATGAGGGGGGGATGCGGATGGGGAGGGGCGAACTAGGAAGGAAGGGGCAGGGTGAAGGCAATGGGGGGCGAGGGCAGAAGGGGCGGGGGATTGTGCCAGGCTGCACGCAAGAGTGACCCCTGGCAAGAGTCACCGTTGGTGCGCGGCTTGCCGGCCGCTGCTGGCGGTGCGACAGTAGCGGTCTTCGTGCTTGGGGTTGGCCCCGCAGCGGCCCGCGAAAGCCGCGCACCAGGGGCCACTCTAACTTTAGCGAAGGATCATTCTTACGCGCTGCGGACAAGGGGGCGGGGGTCCAGGACTTCGCCAAGGCCACCCGAGAGCAGCCGAAGCGAATGTAGACAAGCGCGTTCCACTACTAGCAAATAACTACTCGCAAATGGCCTGTATCCGCTGCGGGCTCACGATCCATTACATCGGGGCACACGTGTGGTGCCGGGCGTTCGCGAGTAGGCACTTTGTGAGCAGTGGGACGCGATGGGTGAGAATGAAGCCGCAGGCAGGGACGGGCGTCGAGACGAAGCACAGGCATCGCCCAGAGGATAGATGCCCAGGGCCTCAGAGCCCCGAGGTTGACGTCCCCTCCTCTGCTCCTCCTCCCCCTCTTACATCTCTGTCTTTTACACACATCCACCTCCCTTCTTCCACATCCGTCGTCCTTCCCTCCACCTCCTCATCCCTCTTCACCATTTTTACAAAAGGCTCTCCGCCTTTAGCGCCGCTGGACGTGTCTGTGGGCTGGCACTGGCGTCTCGCTTGAGGGTCCCTTGCAACATATTATCCCGAAGTTAAACAGCGTCCAACAGCTACACGGGTGCAGGACAGATCGTGGTCATACTGCGGCTCTCGCCACACCGCCGCGCACGTTCGCATCAAGAACTGACAACGACTACACGGATTAAGGCCGGCAGATCTGAAATATTCCACTCTCAGTGTAGATTCCCTTCTGTTCGATGACCCCGAAGCCCAAATTGTGCAACAATTGCCCGGGTGGTGGGCGCCTCATCTTCGAGATGGGGCTCTCGCCTGAGACTCCCGCAAGTTCCCCAGGCAGTGCTTGCAATCAGGGGTTCTTACTTAGGTTCCCGAAAGTATTTGATTGATCAGCCGAGATTTTGCCTGGTGCCCGCCTGTGGAGGACTAGTGGGCACATCGTGCGCTGGGTGGGTCAGCCGAGATGTCGCCCAGTGCTAGCCCGTGGGCTCCGTCCGCCCGTCGGCGCCTCGTGGGGGCCTCGTGCGCCGTGCGGCCTCATAGCCTGAACCACGTAGCTTTGGCAGATAGCTTACACAGCACAGCTTGTACTTCGCAGCTTGCGCTCACATAGCCTAGACCACGTACTTTCCACTGCACAGATTGCACCACTTAGCTTGCATCGTACACCTTAAGCCTGCACGGCACAGCGTGAACCACAGAGCTGACACAATAGACAATCGTCTTGCTACCATACATCAGAGTGAGGGGGCCGAACGGTCATTCATTGTCCCTGGGTGCGTGGCTCTAGTGGGGATCCGTGGTGAGAATTCTGCTTGTTGCGTTGTTACCCACCCCGCGACCCACCCGCGACCCACCCCGCGACCCACCCCGCGACCCGCCTCGCGACCCACCCCACGACCCACCCGCCCGCGACCCCCCCGCGACCCACTGCGCGACCCACCCCGCGACCCACCCCGCGACCCACCCCACGACCCACCCCGCGACCCACCCCGCGAACCACCCCGCGACCCACCCGCGACCCACCCCGTGACCCACCCGCGACCCGCCCGCGACCCCCCCTGCGACCCACTCCGCGACCCACCCCGCGACCAACCAACGACCCACCCCACGACCCACCCCACGACCCACCCCGCGACCCACCCCGCGACCCACCCGCGACCCACCCCTCGATCCACCCACATTGCTTGTAAAAGTTAGGCGCCTGCGGCGGGCCTCGCAGACTGACGACGTACTCGCCGCCCCCTCACTCTTATCCGCAACTGCGGGGGGCTAGGTAATATATTCCGAAGAAACATAAGGCATGTCTGGCACCGACGAGCCTCGGCCACGAACAGGTTCCCGGACCCAAATGTGAGGCTCGGCCCGCAAACCAGAGCCACCCCTGAGCCCGAAAAACTGTCACTGTAGCTGAACGTCTTTCGTGTACCTTGCACCACACAACCACAACATAGCGCACGTATCCACAATGCAATAATCTGCTGTTCGAGGTCGTCGCTGGCAAAACTTGTACTCAGGACGGTAAGTTCGCTCATCCTTTTCACGGATGGATGCCGAAATCATCCTTTTCAAAAGAGAAGTGCCGCTGGGCACTTCTTTGATTTTATCATCCGCCCTTGCGTTAACCCCTTGCCAAGATCCCTGATGCCAACTTTTCCAGTGTTCTTTCTCGACGGACGTGCCGGCACCGTGTCGGGCGGATTCCAGATGCCAGAATCCTTCTCCTCCTCCGCCTAACGCTGACGCTGCTGACACCAAGGTGCGTATCCAACGCTGACCCCCCCCCAAGGGCAATCGCCCCTTGGGGGGGGGATCAAGATAGAGGTCCGTAAATAAAGCAGTGTGGAAGATTCCTGCAGGAGGTATGCTTCCCTGCGGCCCCTATAAGGGGGGTGAGAAGAAACGACGGGACGGCACGACAACCCTCCATCCTCCTTTTCCTCCTCCTCCTCCTCCTCCTCCTCCTCCTTCTCCTCCTCCCCTCCCTTTCCGCCCGTTCCTTCATGAAGAATTCATCCCTCCGCATCGCACCCCCGGACGCGTCGGTAGGGCGGGCCGAGCGTTTCGCCCCAGACCTCCTCACCACTTATGACCCTAAAGCCCTAAAGCTTCAGTTTTGCAAGAGCTTCACGGATGCAGGGCGGGTGGTGTTCAAAAAGAAGCTCTCGACTGAGCGCCGCACGCATTCGCCCGATACAATTGCAAGAGCTTCACGGGTGGAGGGCCGGTGGCTTTCAAAATGTGGCCCTCGCCTTAGCGGTGCGCACATGTGTCTTAGAGTGTACAGGAGCTGCACGGATGGAGGGCGCGTGGCTTTCAAAATGGGGTTCTCGCGCTGTCGCCGCGCGCATACGTCTTAGACAATTGGAAGAGACTTCACGGATGAAGGGCGGGCCGTTTTCAAAATGTGGCTCTCGCCTCAGCGCCGCGCACATTCGTCCTGAAAGTGTGCAAATCGGATGGAGGCCACCGCCGATTCAATACGTGGTTCTCGCCATAGCGCTGCGCACGTTCGTCTTGAAAGTGTACAAGAGCTTCACAGGTTGAAGGCGGCTCCTTTTCAAAACGTGGTTGTCGCCTCAGCTCCTCGCACATTCGTCCGAACCATTTGCAAGAAATTAGTGGATGGTGGGGGGGCCCCTTATCAAAATGTGGCTCTCAGGTGAAGTTCTCGCCTAAGCGCCGCGCGCAGCAGTCTTTTATAGTGTACAACAGATCAGCAGATCCTCGCGGTTGACGTCCCAGGGACTGTGTTCTGGCACGGCGTAGGATTGCCAGGGCGCAGCAATCACGTCGATTTGCGGTGTTGCAGTCCCAGGAACGGAGTTCTGGTACGATGCAGGATCGTCAGGACGTAAAAATAAAGCTGACTGACGACGTTGAAATCCTAGCAATGGCGTTTTGGAACGATTGCGAATTCTCAGACGGTTGTCTTCCGTCGGGGCACCTCCAGCAGTGAACACAATGAAATACTGTAGGGACCTATGCGGAGGGAACTTGGAGGCAGAATTTATTTAGTCAGCGTTGATGAATCCTGGGTTTACACTGGCCCTCATCCCCCTCCTCCTTCTCCTCCTCCTCCTCCTCCCCTTTTTCCTCTTGCCGACTCCTCCTCCTCCTCGTCCTCATCCCCCTGCTCCTCTTCCTCCTCCTGCTCCTCCTCCTCCTCCTCCTTCTCGTCCTCCTGCTCCTCCCTCATACTCCCTCCTACTCCCTCCTCCCTCCTCCTCCTCCTCCCTCATCATCCTCCCCCTCCTCCTCCTCCTCCGCTTCCCTTCTCCATTCCTTTTCCTTATACATAAATTCTCACTGTCGCACCCCGAAACCAGTTTTTAGGGCGGGCCGGGCGTTTCGCCTGAGACTTCCTCATCATTTATGGTTCTGAGGCTTAAACATTGCTGCAGTTTCACCGATGGAGGGCGGGTCGTTTCCAAAATGTGGCTCTCGCCTTAGCGTGGCGCACATTCGTCAACAAAAACTGCAAGAGTTTCACGGTTCGAGGGCGGTTGGCTTTCAAAATGTAGCTCTCGCCTTAGAGCGGCGCACATTCGTTAAAACAAATTGCAAGAGTTTCGCGGATTGGGGGCGGGTCGATTTCAAAATGTGGCTCTCGCCTTCGCGCGGCGCACATTCGGTTTAAACAGTTGCAAGAGTTTCACGGGTTGCAGGCGGTTCCTTTTCAAACTGTTGCTCTCTCCGTAGCGCGGCGCGTTAAACAAATCGCAAGAGTTTCATATATTCCCATCATCAGCGTGCCAGAAATGGTGTTTTGAAATGACTCAGGGTAATGCGGGTGCAACAGTTATGTTTATTCGCTGTGTTGAGGTCCCAGGAATGGCGTTATGGCACGATTCCGGATTGTCAAG